ATCCACCGATCAGTTATTCAGGATTCTTGCAGAAGACGTCAGCAATATACGTCTTATATAATTTTTAATCAATAACACGCCACAACATTTGTGCGTCGGTGGCATAGCGGTTAGGACGCTCGCTGACCATGCACATCGTCCGGGGTTTCATCTCCGGCCGACGCACTCTTTTACCTAGCTAAGCCAGAAATATTGCTGGTAAAGCGGAAAGGTTGGGTATGAGGCTAGCAACCCCATCCTGCGAAATTAAACACTGTTACAGAAACTTCAAGCCACTAGCTTGAAGCCCTATGTTCCACTGGGAACGTGAAGGAAAAAAAGCGCCACAACATGATGACTGTATATGATAAATCTAAGCTAAAGCAGAGATAAAATAGGATTATTACTAGATTTAATGACTCATTGTTGCAAAACACCTTAATATATAGTTGATTTGTACAAACTAACTATTTAACCTACATGCATGGATACATAACTGTCAAACTTGAAGAGGAAGTTATCGTAAAGAATGCTCTTTTATTTAATAATCTTAAATTTAATTATTATAGGAATCCTCGGAAATTTATACTGGAATAAGCTACATAGTAAATACTACTTAAATAGTATATATATATATATATATATATATATATGACAGAGTTTCAGAATAAGATTTTACACAAAAGTGAACCCATTCAAGTTTCCACAGTCCATGTAGCACACATACGTAGACAGAAGAGATTCAAAAGAACAACGATAGGCAGAAATTTGAGGGAGAAAGAGTAGTAACAAAGAGTAAATGCATAAGGGTCATTGAGGAGGATTTAGAGCTATACCTTCAATAGTCTCCAGTCATTGGTTATTAGTATTCTGAAGATGTCAACTGGGCAGCTTATACCTCCCTACATGGCTCAAACTCACTGACAAAGTACTGTCGGGATAATGCTAGCTTTCAGTTTGACTACCCGCAATGCCTTTCCAACGTAATCCTATGTTAGCTAACATTGCCCACCGAGGAAGTTGATAGTTCAGAATGAGCAACACATATCCTAGCAATCTCAGTGTATTTACTTTCACAAACTCATCGATTCCTCTTCCCTTACACACTATGCCAAAACTCTGTATTTCTCACTTAACATGGGAGACAGAACTCAAACATCTGTAGTTAGAGGCGGCTATCCTTTTCATATCTGCTGATTTCAATGGGTGTGTCTCAAAACCCTTAGAAGGATCGAGCAAACTGATGCGCCGTACACACGGCCCTTGATCTGTAGCTGGATATCATGTCCTCTGCCGTCCTCTTCAGCTACGTCCACGGTAGACCAAACTCTCTCATCTCCTCCTCACACAATCTCCTTCATGTCGCCTATGCACCAACCACCCACTTATCGCTTCCCATTTGGATTTCACCAGAGGGCCTAGCATGTGATGTCATCCGACGGCCTTCTCAATGTATGCCCAATCCATCTCCACTTTCTCCTACATATTTGTTGAGCGATCGGCTCTCGCCTGTTGGTTTGTTCCACTGCAGAGTTTCTTGTTGCTAATTCTTTCTGGCTAGCCGGCTATTTGATCTTCAGTATGGAGCAAAGGCAACTACTGATGAAAATCTGCAACCTGTTGGAGATCCTATTCGTGACACGTAGTGCGAATTTCTGACCCGTTTATAAGAACCAACTTCACATTAGTGTTGTGAGTGTGAATTTTGTTCCTTATGCTGAGTGACAGCGGAATATTTTCAAACCAGTTTCAGGTTGATGGAAGCGTATCTTGCTTTTCCTATTCTGACTTTGATATCTTCGTCGGTTCCGCCTGTAGCTGAGAAGATGCTTCCCACATGTATATATATATATACATATATATATATATATCGTTCTCATAGCTTATTTCATCTAAATAAAATTTGGAGGCAGGAAATATAAATAATTTAGTTATTTAACGCACTTCACTTCATACTAATAAGAGCAACAAAACATTTGGAAAATTATGTCCTTGACAAATCATTTTCAACAGTCATAAAATACGACAATGCTACATTAAAAATTCAATACGCCTAAAGGAATCAAGTTCTTCTTGTCGTTCATGTTATTTTCATCATCGTCTTTTCCCTTTTCATCTGCTCACTTCATGCTGTTACCTGATACTTTTGTGTCCCCTCACCATCCCTAACCCTTTCCATTAAAATCTTTAACTAGTCAGATTGTCCGTCCATGCAACTTCTGTGAGGATTTTTATAAACGCTGGTTGAACACTTCCTCATTATTAACACACACTTACACACTATTTGTGAACGTCTTATTTTAGATACTGAATTTTAGTAATAATGACAACGTAGGTTACACCATCAACTCATCGATTTGTATTCATAATTCCACATTACTCAGAATCACATTCAAGCCAATTAACTTACCTGTGAGCATCATTGGTTCAGCAGTAAACGCTCGCCAACCATGCATGTCGGCCAAGGTTCGATACCCGGCCGACGCACACCTTTTCCTCGCTAAGCCCGATAAAAAGGAAGGTTGGGCGTGAGTCTAGAAACCCCACCCTATAAAAACACCCCTGTTACTGAAACTTCAAAGCTACAGCTTGAAGCGCTGTTTTCCACTGGGAACTTCAAGGAAAAAAATTTACCTGTAAAGTTACTGACTTCAGCAATAAATTTGAAGGGTGTGAATCATCAAGTCAGTCAGAGTTTTCTTAAGGTGATAAATATCCCGCGTTGATTAGTGACAACTGAAATGGAACATAGATTGTAGGTATTTATCTTTTTAATCAGGTAACCGATAGCATTAAGACTTTGACATTACGTGACATAGCTGTGCACATAAGTCATTTGGACAGTTATTGATTTTTTTGCTCATGTTCACGAGAAAACTGAAACGGATAATTAACGAGGAGGCTATATATATATATATATATAATGAAATCCACGTAGGTATGTGTAGACTGTTTTCCTGGTCGGGGTCCTCGGGACAGCAAAAAACCCAGTGAAACCTGGTGACAATCGGTGATACGGCTCAAAATCGTTCTCAATGGCTGGTGTAGATGCATTCACTCTTTATGATTTATAATATCCAACAAAAATCTACTGTTTTTTTCATATTACTATTCTTTTCGTCTCATATCTCTGCTTACTGTCTCTATTTTGCGTTTCTTTTTACTTTCTTCTTCTTCTCTGGCTTTGTGTGGTGAGTGAAGTGTGTCGACTCGAACTGCTGCACATCGGTGTTAAGTTCTGTGTTGAAACCAGTCAGTCAGATCTTACCCGAGACCTTCAGACTATGATGCTAGCCCGTTTACCATTCACCCTTTTGATTCGTGATATACCGTAACTGCTAGCCCATGTATTCTATTAGGATCCATTTTATCTTGACATTGTGGAACCAGACTGGCTACAACTTCTGTTATGCACTCGTCGCCAAATTATTGCTATGAACTGGTCGAGAATTTAATAGTCCTGACGCAAGAAAGACGGAAATCAGAAGACCACTAGGTTTGCGATGATACTTCTATATTCCAAACACCAGGAGAATCAAATATATACCACACAATAGTGTGAGAGCAAAATATATATGAATGTCCAACCAAGTGTGTGAACAAATCAATAGACAGTCTTAACATGATTGGCTAATTATAATGGAGCATCGATCCATATATACATAGCGAAATATAACAGACTGTCAAACAAACACACATATCATATGGATATATATATCATCAAGGACAGACTGTCAACAAACACACATATTATATATAATATAAGGGGAATATACATTGTTAAAGGAGACAGGTTCATCAAAGTGAAATGGTCGCAGACTAAGAGAGCAACAGAAAAAGAGACCATCATATATATGTATATATATATGGATACATATCAACTTCTCACCAAAACATCAGTCACTTTGTGGGAATTTGGATTAATCTCAACATAGATTTCGTCATAAATCAACATCAGTCAGTAAACCATTGGAAACCACAAAGCACTGCACAACCATTTCGCCATATTTCGGGACTCTTCAGCATTACGCATCCAAGATCCCATCAGAAGGTCTTTGTCTTCACTTCTAATAACTTTTAACCTAATGTTGTTACGTAGATGACCATGTAATTATTCCAAGTCCTATGTTGTATTTCTGCCAACTAAGAAAATAAATATAAACTCAGAATCAACTATAAAGCCTTAATTAATATTATAAAACTATACTTTTAACTGGATTATACTATGTGGAAATATAATATAGCTTATATAATTAATGCGCCCTGCGTATTCTTTAGGTGTGTCGCGATATCGAATATCATTAGTGGAATATTAAAGACCAAAATAAATCGAATCAACCACCTTGTAAATAGATTTCGAAATGTATTCACATGTGATAAAATGTAATAATATATGTTGCTGTGTTATGGAACTAAAAAGTATGCGAAAAGCTTTGTGTTATTGTCACAAACACACACGAATAAACAAACAAATACAAAGCTTTCAGTTTAAGGGAAGAGTGTGTTGATAAAAAGGCGTAGTTATCTCGAATCTCGTGACAAGAGATTCTTAATTTTTTTCGGCTGAAAGTATAAGTACGTGTTGTTAAGTCATTCAAAGCACACAGGATTATGACTGAACTAGTATTTAAATATTCTAGTATTCTAATGCATGAGCAATATGCTTTATGCTATCCACCGGATTTTCCTCTTACCGTAAGCTAAAAAGTTAATTATGACAATAGTATATCACCGATACTCAATAAAAATATATATATTAGGACGCAATTTCACGTATTCTACAATATGCCTCTATAACTTGAGAATTTTTAACCCTCTCTGTCTATCAGACAAGTCGGTGCTTGACAGAATGAAGGACATAAAGTGACAGAAGTTCTTGGCTCGAAAAATTACTCTGGCTTATCTCCTTGATATCTGAACCTGAAGTAATCAACACAATTGACTGGCTTTTTTTTGAGTTATAAAACATCTTGGAATAAGCGCTTAAAGTTTTATTACTTATTTATTTATTATTCTTTTAGGCTCCGAGTGGAACATAGATTTTCAACATCACATGCCCCTATTTCATCTTGTTCTCTGAAGTCCTCTTTATCTGGCTCTAGGAATGCCCACAGACTCTCACATGGTCTCATCCATGTCATCCACGGAACCACATTCAACTCGTTCGGGATTCGGGTTTCAGTTTTAGCAATAGCACTCGACAGTCTCCTCAACATGTACGCAATCTATCAGTATTTCACTCTGTATATTTGCTGAGCAATATGTTCTTGGTTGGCTGGTTACACTGCAGAGTCCTCTCTGTTGCTAAACCTTTCTAGACAGCGAAGATGATTGTTGATGAAAGTTAGAAGTAAACTGTTCGAAATGCGTTTGATGGCACGCCAAGCCTCTAAACTGGACGGAAGGACTGACTGATTTCATATGAGTGTTGAAAAAGCAAATCTTGTTCTTTAAGCAAAGTAAAGTTAATTAGATTAATTACTGGTGAGTTCGCCTTGTAATTGCAAGTTCCTGTGTTCGAACCCCTGTGGTGGATGCAAGCTGTTGAAGAGCCCCAAACTAGGCAGACGAAACAACTGTCCATTACACCCAGCTGTTTTGTTTCCCACAGTGGTTCTTTAATTGATTTCAGCTCATAATAAAATCCTCCAACCAATCAAATTACTGACGCTTGATGAATTAAATGTTTCCATATCAGTTATTAGCTAAACATATGAGGACCTTGAATTTCTACGTGAATGTTGTAAAACCTTCCATTTAGCTTTTTTGTGCTATCTAGTGAAAGGAAGTACAAAGCAAATAATATTTAGTGGATAAAATTAGTTCTCATCTCACCCCTGTGTGAATTTAGATCAACTGATTTTAGATCATATCATGTAAAATGGAAGAGACTCTTAAAACTGACAACGACTATGGTACGTATCTTGGTTTTTTAATGTAATAGTGTGGTGAGAGCAGGCTGCTAGCTAACTGGTAGGCATTAATCTACGTCAATGTCTAGGTCACTAATATTGGCCGTGAGAAAATATGAACAAGGCTGATTCAACAACCAATCACAACAGACTTTGCGTAGGCGGATACAGTTAGCGTATAGATGATCTGAACTTCAAGAAACAGCCACAAAGAGATGAAAGATTAACTTTCAGTGAGAAACAACCAATCAGAAGACTATGTTTTTCTGCTAACAATAATGTATAATATGTACATGAAAATATATAAATATGTGTTGATTTTCTTAATAAACGATCTGTTGCCTGGCCCTTGTCTTCTGTTGTTACAAACTCACAAGGAATACGCCTCACCAGTAAGCTTAGTAAAGTCAAACTGTGAGGAGAACAAAAAGATTGAAAGTCTCTATTACATCAACACTACATAGTTATTCCGAATATTTATATATTTAACAATAAAAACAGAAAATCTCCTGCATGCCATCCTGCGTGGAGCGCATTCCAACCATACAAGTTATGCAATGTCTATCCTTGACATCTTAAAAGCTTTTGATAGTGTCTTGCATCAAACAATTCTACGAGTGGCTGAAAGTTTTGGCGCTCTCCCAATGCTTCGAGAATACCTCGCGAACTACTATTCCAATTCCTATAGTCTCTTTCATGAGGTAAGATGTCACCCAACACGGGGAGTTAAACAAGGTGACCACCAGTCACCACTTCTCTTCATTATGACCATGGATGAGATTCTCAACGCACTTGAGGCCCATGAACCTATTTTCATCGCTGGCCACCCTCTGCATTACATTGCATATGCGGAGGATCGTATCATCTTTGCTCCAAACGCGGTGACTCTTCAAACAAGCTTAGCTGTATCGCCGCCTCACTAGAACTGGCGGGTCTATCTATCAACGTCAGCAACAGCCGTACAATCAACATAGTTGCAAACAGACATCATAGAATTACGGCTCTCTCACCAAACATTTTTAATATAAACTGCCAATCAATTCCAGCGATTTCACCAACTGAGGAATTTGCATATTTGGGTGTTCCATTCAACTACAAGGGCAGGTGCTGCTTTGACTATGTGGGTGTCTTCAATGGATACCTGAACAATGTGACTCGCGCCCCCCCCTCAAACCGCAACAATGAATAAGAATCCACAAGAATAATCTCATCCCTCGTCAATTTTACACATTAACGCTTGGCATCACCCACAAGAATACACTGAAAACCATGGACAAATTGATTCGTCCGGCTGTGCACTGTTGGCTTCGCCTCCCAAAAGATACTCCAGCAGCATATTTCCACGCCAATATAAAAAAGGGAGGCCTTGGAATTATGAATCTTTCAACAACGATCCCTTGTCACAGACGGAAAATAATCCAGGCTCTACTTAACAATGACAATCCGCTTCTACGCAGCATTTCATCCTCCACTAATTTCGCACCGTTTATCAGAATTTGCAATCTCCCCGTGCAAGCCAACAAGCAAATAGTAGCATCTGCAGAAGAAGCCCATGAAAGCTGGGCCCAGCAACTACATTCATCGGTAGACAGACATGGCTTGACAATAAAAAGAAAGAAGATATTTGTCTGACTCTGATTAGTCATACATTTTAACTTACTATCCGATTCTTATTGGATTAAGATCAGAAAATCTAAATGAATAAGAAAAGTTAGTATGGTCAAAGTATATATATATATATATATATATATATATATATATATATATATATATATATATATATGACTGGCTGACTAATTGCTTTCAGCGTAGAACTTAGCCCAGATATGCAGCAGTTCAATTTATCACTTTCCCTTCATGTAGCACACAAAGCGAGACAAGAAAGTAGGACGACGGTTCAAAAGACAGATAAAAGAAAGAAGAATGAAGCGAAAAGAATAGTAATATGAAAGAACAGAAGATTTTTGTTGGATACTATAAATCGCAAAGAGTGAATACATCTACACCAGCCATTGACAACGATTTCGAGTCGTATCACCAATTGCCTCCAGGTTTCACTGGGTTTTACTATCCCGAAGACCCCGACCAGGAAAAGAGTCTACACCTACCTACGTGGATCTCATGATATATATATAAAACCAAAATACCACTTTTTTAAACACCATTTGGGCTTAAATGGTTATCAGTGGACTATAAAGTACTTCCATACAAATTTGGATATTTAAATCTATTATGGATAAGATTTTATTTTAATAAATCTCATAGTGTTGTGTACACTAATATTTACTGGTGATATTTCGAGCACAAACTATTGCTCATAATCATATCAAGTCACTACTCACACTACTTTCTTGCTTCATTTATATACATGTGTAAATATTGATTAGACATTTGAATGAAATCAATATAAGACAAAGTACATTTGGAAATAATTTTAATGTTATCAATAAAATACAATAAGATGGCATATAAGATGTTTTTTTATAGTAAAATACATGAGAACTGAATACATTCTAACATCATTTATTATCCTCTCATTTGAATGGTAGCAATATCTTCCATATCTCTAGTATTACAGTCGAGTTATTTCTGTTGCAAATGTTGGGTTTAGACTCAATGAACCAGGCAGGATTGAGTAATCAACCTCTCTCCCTCTCTCCACCTACTTATATTACTCTTTAGAACTTTGACTCTATACCACCCTATTTTGTGGTTGCGTGTTAATGCATGCACCACGATTGCTGAGTTTTTTTTCTCCTAAATTACTACAACGTTCAGATGTAAAACGTTTGCTTGGAGACCTATAAACGACTGTCGAAAGCCCATATCAGTCATTCACTTTATTAGGCTTAACACATGAGAAGAATACAAGCATACGAATACTTGTTTGTTTATTTTTTAAATTTAAATTTCACTGAATCAACTGTTTACAGTTAACACACTAACCGTAATGTAATCTCTAATGTCATTATGATATAATAGTAATCAGGATTTTCCAGCAGTGTGTTTTAAAATACGTATTTCATCAGCTGAGTCGAAATTACACCTCATTAGGTGTTGTTATCGTCATTATTGGGAATAAAATGCAATTGCCATTTGTTCACAAACGTCCCATTAAACAACCTACAGCACTTGTTGAATGGCAAGGGTATTAGATAGTTGAAAGGCAATCGGTCACAGGAAGCCCCCTCGACCTAGGTTTCGTGCTAGTTGGCACTTACCAGTGAGCAAGGCATATCTGCATTTACCTTGAAGGAACTCATATCCCTTCTGCGATCTGAACCGACCTCACCCAGTAAGTATTGCAGTCAGAGACGTTACCACTGGCTGATAGAATTCAGTCTTCACCAAAGAAAGGACTAGACACGTTGCACTAGTTACTAGTGCCCAGTAAGAATGGTAAGCGTACTCATTCATTCAGTTAACGAGTCTGAAATGAGACTAAACATGTGTTTAGAATCTTACTATTACTTGTTACATATATTTCACCAGCCAATTTAAAAAATGCTTGAGAACTTTACACAAAAGGCTTTAACTTACGTGCAACAAAATGTATTCTTACAACTTTTTTAATGCAGATAAACAAACCACCTTAGTCAGCTTCTACTGATACAACATTCTACTATACAGCATATTATCTTACCATTTTCAAAGTTCAAAATATCATATGAAAATCAAAATTTAGCAACAAAAAAAACACTTCAGATGTAATGTGTTTCATGCGTGCCTACACTTTGACCAAGAGCAAGAGCTTTAATGTTACAGCATGATTAAATATACTTGATTGAATCAATATGGTAAATTTGATCAAAAACGATACCTTCTTTTGATGGTGCATTAGAGATTATAATCTTGGGCGAGTATCATAGCCAAAGCTAAGATCTTTCAGAAAGTTAACTTCAACGTTTTTGCATCTGAATTCTAATTGGTCGTTCAAGGTCACCATAGTTTTGGTTATGACTTCAGTTAGAGAACCATTGAAAACCTGAGGATATTGAATAGTTGTTTCGTTCTTGTGCGAGACTCTTCAGCAGTATGCAACCAACCACAGACCGAATACAGGACCCTAAGGTTACAAACAAGTTTGTAAAACATTCATTTACTGGGACGGAATTCCACTGATGTTAACTTCTCCTATATTGGGTGATAGCCGGCCAATAACATAGGGAGTGGTTGTAGTCACGACCAAATTGGTGAAACCCACTGGTCATGATTTCCCCCACCAGAGCTTTAGTCAACTAAATCCTGTAGCAAGTCACTACTAATAAGTGCTGTATTAATGGTAGGCTACTTCGCCTTAAAACCTTAAGGTCTCTAGGTGTGTGCTGACGAAGAGTCCCGGACTTGGACGAAACACCTGTCTACTACTCCGTGGTTCACAATGGTTTACTAACTGAATTCGTTTCATGGTCAAAATTGACGTCGATTAAATCCCTTAGAATCAAAACTTGAAAATCAGAGATAATAACTGAAGCAGTAGACGAACTCAAGAGGAAACTAATAAGAACCTTTTGAAAAGTCATATTTTAATATAATTCAACGTGAAATGAATAATCAAACAAAGTAATCGGGCCACAAATAAGTATTTTACGGTGTAATTTCAGGCGAATATACACTATAGAAAATAGTAGGAAAAAGCACTTCCATTCTAGTCATAGCCTACTGAGTAGTAGAGATAATTGTCCGACATGTTTCTAGCTGTTCTAGTAATAATTCTGTTTTATCTCTGCCTAAGTTTAGATTTATCATACACAGTCATCATGCTGCTACATGTTATTGATTAAAAATTATATAAGTCGTTTATTGCTGACGTCTTCTGCAAGAATCTTGAATAACTGATCGGTGGATCAAGTTGTATTATTATTATTATTATTATTATTATTATTATTCCCTTGGGTTCCGAATGGAACATAGGGCTACAACAACACATCCCCATTTTGTTCGATTTGATGCTTCCCTCTTCAACTGGGTCCACGATTGCCCATAGTCTCTCATCTGCTCTCCGCACGACCTCCCCCATGTCACCCTAGGACGACTTACTCGTCGCTTCCCGT